TTTTTTTGTACTTTTGTTAGGGTTACAAAGGAGAACGTCCAGGGATTCTTGGTTATATGACGCGCTTTGATGCCGACTGGTACCTGAAGAAGGCTTTCTTTATGGCACTGACATGTTTCTACCCAGATGCTGTCATTCATTTAGGTTTGTGCAGAGAATAGTTGTTGGTAAGATTTATTTAAAAATGGTCTAGAAACATTTGTTACGTGCCGAAGAACAAAAATAATCATTTCTTTATTAAAAATCGACCATCAAACTCATCGATTTCTCAGCGGAATCGATGCTCAGCAAACCAACTGAGCTACTGAGAACCCGTTGCCGAGTTCGACTAATTACTCGATTCATTTTTGCTGATTTGTCTCTTTAAAAAAGTATGTGCTTGTTGTAATTGCTCATTACAGACATCTTCGCTTGGAATAGGTGATGTATTAGATGAAGGATTCGTTGCTACCGCTGAGGAATTTCAAGAGTATAAGGTAACATTTTCATAATAGTATCATCCTAACAATTTGGATATATCAACAAAGTTTAAAGGGTAAATTGGCCACCGTAACGATTACAAAAGTTGACGTTTCGAGCGTTAGCCCTTTGTCGGAGCGAATCATATCCTAACAACGGGTATTCTATAACATGTCTTTTAAGGCAATAATAATTTGTAACTTTTGATTTCTATTGAACCGAAATTATGTTGCTATAACGAAGTTGTCAAAAAGGTTCGGAAAGGCGGCGAATTAACTTTAATTGAAGACTAAGTTATTGTTGTGGTTTTCGCTTGGTAAAGAGATTCTAACATTGCATACAAAACTGGAATTCAGAACAGTGCCAAGTTTACCATAGGTTGTTGGGCGTAAAGAAAAAGGTTTTTTATCTTCATTAGAGAGATCCCAGTTTCAGTAAGCGCATTATATTTATTTCAGACCAGACATGATAGGATCTTTGATACCCCGGCTGGAATTTGCAGAATTCACATCGCTGGAGACAATGACATTGGAGGCGAATCGAGCGATATTATCACAAAAGGAAAAGTGGCAAGATTTTCAGAAAACTTTGGCTCACTAGACGATGTTATAAAGCTCAAGAACACTTTTCAGATGGTGAAGGTAATTATTTTTCTTTGTTCAATACTCTTGGGGAAAAATGTAGTTCGATGATTGATTGTCATTATCAAATAATAATTCTCTGTTTTGTAATCATTCATGAAAAATGTTGTTATGGATATTTCACAGATAAATTCGGTGAGTTTACTAAGAAGGAGGCCTTTAGCATCGGAATGGGATATCTATAACAACACAATAGCCTTTATTGACAATTTGCCCTCAAGGCTTGATCCCAACAGGATTTCTATTCTTATTGGACACGTTCCGCTTAATAATACGAGCAGAAGTCAAATAGTTCCAATAATAAAGGTGAGCTTTTTTCAGAGATTATGCCCTAATTACGGAGCATGTCCATTAATTACTTAACAAATGAAGAGGACTGTTAAATAATTATATAGGCATAGTCGTCACTAATCAAGGCTGAGTAAAAACACTGAAATTAACATGGAGAGGGTACTTTGCAGCTGGTGTAATTCAACCAGAAAATCTATACCCCCCCCCCTCAAAAAAAAATAACAAACTCAGTCTCTAAGACTTTTCACAAAGTAAGATTGAAAATTGAGAGATGGGATGTTCGGTCTTCGGCTCGGCACCAGTCTTCGTTTCATTTCTCTCGAGTACAGAATACTGTCACCTTCACCTTCACCTATCTTCTTCATGCCATGTGGCACATAAGGCCTCAACACAATCCCGCCAACCAGCTCTGTCAGCCGCTGCGACTTTGTACCTCACTCCAGTTCTTCCGTCCAGCTTTTTCCCTTTCTCTCTCTGCTGTCTTCCTCCATGTTGTCATTGGCCTGCCCTGTTTTCGCCGCCCTCCTGGGGTCCAGGTTAATGCAGTTCTGTAGTCATTATATGGTTCTTTCCTCGTGATGTGGCCGATAAATTTCCCTCGTCTCCTTCGCACATCCTCACTGAGGTTCTCCATCTCAGCCATCTTCAGGACTTCTTTGATTGTAATTCTTTCCTGCCAGCGTATCTTAAATATCCGTCTGAGACATCTGCTTTGGAAGGCATCGATTTTGTTCTTATCACTTTTGTTCATTTTCCACTGCCACAGTACGTAGTAACTGAGTAATCTGATCAATGCTTCAGTTAGACTAAACTGAAACTTGTTTAACTTGTTTAAGCAAAGTGATGCGATGATTTTTATTACAAATGAATGTGTTTACCATCTCATTTCCTAGTTAATAGAGGCTGTTCAACCATATCATGCTTTCTCAGGACATATTCACGAGGTAGGTAATGAGGTAAATAAGTTTAGTGGACATTTTAGTGAAAGCAGAAATAAACCTCGACAAACGAAAGTGAATCAACACATCCTCGAGAGAACCCGTTGTCAGGGACACGGTTAAGGAGTGATGCAACAGGAGTAAACCTTGTGATAACAGTTTTAACACTAAAAGTGTTTCTCGATAGTCTGAAGTTTAATTAACTCTTTCCCTTCACTCCTCAAATAGCATTTAGTTCGTTTCTCTATCCCATCAGCTTGGAATTTTTATCAATGTACGATCTATTTACTGTATTTCATTAACTGAATCGATTTGCAATGATCCAGTTTACCACTTAGGTGCTTTTTTAATCTCAAAGAGATGCTTTGTTACATGCTTCGTTACAGAACTATGAACAAATATAACTGAATCGATGATATTTTGACCTGAAGACAAAATAGCAGGTCGCGTATTTATATCATTATCGACACAGTACTACATAACTGTAACTTTCAAAAAATTCACTTTTTTATGCTTCTCAGATACTAACAGGGCGTCACTAACAACTGAACTTTTAAAACCAGACAAAACTTAGTGAGTTCTCCCATCCTTTTTTAGAGAGCAACCATCGACCACAAGATCGGAAAAGTGACATTTACAGAGCACGTTGTTCCAACGTGCAGCTATCGCATGGGGACAGAGAAGATGAGCCTCGCAGTAGCAGTCATCGGTAGGTTAAAAGTAAGATATCGTTATACCTTACAAAGAGAAGTAAAGGTTCCCGAAATATAGAATTGTGGAAGCCTTCTCCGTTTTTCTGCACAATTTCCTGGTTTCGGTTTTTTTGTTAATTATATTTAGTGGCAAACGCCTCGAAAAACTAGGTAGGGTTTTTTTCTAGCTTAGGAATTTTCTAATATGACACAAAATAAATGAAATTTCGAAACCTGATCCATTGAAGAGGTAAAAAGAAAAAACGAAAAAAGGATGGCAAGCTCTTTCTGGTTTGTACTGCCGAGATGCTGAATAGCTTGAATTGCCTTGATGTGGTAAAGTCTCTCTTTCTTGTTTTTTTATTTATTTATTTATTATTTTTTTATTTGGTAGGTTTTCTGAAGAAGAACAGCAAAAATTCGAACTTTTCCACTCGTCTTTAATCAATACTTAATAGACTCAATACGCATGGTGTAAAAAGCTACGTGAATTAACCCTTTTCACTCCCACGATCTCATCAGTACAGGGTTCCTGCGCACCTTGAAAGTCCTTGAATTTAGTTTTTTGTTTTCAAGGACTTGAAAACCCTTGAATTTAGACTCAAGTACTTGAATATTTCTGAAAATTCCTTGAAAATAAGTGCATATGAATCAGAGTCAAAGTTTTCTTTTGTTTTCGGTGTTGAAAATCTAAGTTTCTAGCACAAATCGCGAAAGCGAGTTTTCCTTTTAAATCCTGCGTCCCATTATGATGTTTGACACGTGATTTTTAGACATTTTGTACCTGATTGGTCCATCGAAAATAGTCTTGGCTACCTGGCACGTGATCACTCTGATGTGCATGCTATTTCTATTAGCTCCTATTTTATGTAAAGGGTCCTTGAATTTGACAGTCAAGGTCCTTGAAAATGACCTAAGAAGTCCTTGAAAATCCTTGAATTAGGTTCCTGAAAAAATACATAAACCCTGTTAGCAATTCTCTCTACTGTCTGTCATACAATTCTGATCATGTCATCATTATTATTTATTATTATTATTATTATTATTATTATTATCATTATTATTGTTTTCAAATTTTATTATTACTATCTTCATCATAATTTTTAACATTATGGTGACAATGTTGATTATTTTATTTTCGTTATCCTAATCATTACTATCTTTATCTGATATGGCTTTTATTTCTTTTGAGTTACTTCTTGTCTTTTCATAGGTGTGGATGGCTCTATTGTTTTCTCCGAACTACCATTGCCCACAAGATACCCATATTTAAAAGCGTATTTAGGAATTACATTTGTATTTGTTGTATTCACACTCCAATGGTTAATATCGACAATAGTCTTTCATTACAAAGACGGTTTTAAACGGAAGATTGGTTTCATTTTCAAACTTTGTCTTAAAATGCAGTGACACTAGATCGTTGTAAGGGTTTCTCTCCTCCCTGCCGCTTGGAGCGAAAGAAACTGGAGAGAGAGGGAGCGAAAAGAAGAAGAGAGGAAGAGATTCCTTGGGAACGAGTTTGAAGTTTATCCTGGTTTATACCACAGGAAATTTGAAATTCACTTAGAGAATAATTAGATATGGAGCGTAGAACGCTCTTTACGGCATGAATCTCTTGTGCCAATCAGCGTCATTTTTGCGGTAGGACTGGTACTCCGATCACAGCAAAGCTTCTGTTTTTTTTTTTTTTATTCATCAAAAATTTGTTCATCAATGACTTTGCTTGTGCTCACTTTCAATAACATTAAAAACTTATATATGATCATAATGAGAGCCCTTACTAAGGAATGACGCACAAGAGGTTTTCACCATGAGACGGAGGTAGGGACATGTTTATTTGAGATACTGAGGTGCATGTAATTATAAATGCTGCACCCATTTATGGAATCACATCAGGAGCCCATCATTTAACACACCCTTTCTGCAAGCTAAGTGTTCTGTGCATTTAGATACTAAGATATCGACATAGTTATACTAAAAGCTCGTCAATGAAAACAAAGGACAAGATGATATTTTCAAAAGATCCTCTCTTTGATAAGCCTCCCATGATAATAGGGCTCAAATATCAATATATCTTACAAGTCATTCTGAGCTGAGGGGTTATTCTTCGTAGCTTTGTACGTGGTATAATTTATTCTTTTACACGGAGTTTTTAAATATTGGAATTTGGAAATTGCAGTGATAGACTAACGCAAGCTAAAACCCTCGTCCACCCGCACACAGCTCACAACAAAGCATAGCTCAAAGCAGGATTTAGGGCTACGCGCGCGTGCGCTCATTGTCAGTAGTCCTTGTGCTCCCCCTTTCGCATGTGGAGCAGAGTGAAGAAATACCTCTCCCCCACGCGTGGATCTCGCTCCTTGGGTTCGCCTTGTGTTCACCTCAGCTCTCCTGAAAAAAATTACGTTTTTTTGTATCCTTTTCAGTGGAGATAGCTGCTATTTTCCGCTCGCTCACTTCCTATTCTCACGCTCGTCTAGGCGGAAGCTTCCAACAGACGAAGCCACCATATGATTGTTACACCACCATACCTACCTATGTATAAGTCCGCGGTCCGAAAAATCGCGGGCTGTTACGGCCCTAGTGCCCAGGCCTGCTCAATAATCACCTGAGCATAAATTTTACCACAATTTTACCGACCTCTTGGTTATAATGATGTTCTCTGTGGAGCCAAAATTTTCGCTAATCGACAAAATAACCACAATATGGGTCTCTAAACTCAATCCGCTGCAAAATATTACACTTACGGCAAAAGTTGTGGGTGATAAAGGCGGAGTGTTCGAGTCGCACGCGCACTTCATCGCTGATAAACATGGCCAGGTTGACGTTGGTCGTGACCCGTCTGTGGGTGGATCTTACAGCGGAGTTTCAGCCATGGGACTGTTATGGAGCATGAAACCAGCACCAGGACAGAGAAAAGGAATTCGACTGATGAAATATGATGTCACTAAACCGTATATTATCGAACTGAAATGTTTCAGTGATCACGTAACTCTGAGCGAAACATCCAATCAACCCATGGCTATCACGACATTTCTGAAGGGGTACATGGCTAATGGCGTGAGGCGAATTCCTGTGAAAGAAGGAAGAATCCGTGGAACATTATTTCTACCACCCGGTAAAGGACCATTCCCAGGTAATTTGAGTTGAAGTTTAAACCAGTAGGCTTTGTGAGTCAGTTGTTTGACTTAACTTGTGAGCACTCTACATGTGAGTGCTCTCCCGACATGATTAGTGAGAATAATTTTCCATAACAACGTTTGAGATAGAGAAAGATGTTTTTCCTCTTGTTACGGGGGTGAGACATAGACAAAATTCTGATTCCCTATTCTGGGCTCTGATGCTCTACCACTGCTGAACCACAGACTCCATGGCGAGCAAGGCCCAATTTGAAGTTCATAGAAGTGCAGAAATATATCTAAAGGTCTTAGGTTAGATTCTTCATTAAGACCAAGAATTTTTTTTTGTCCCACACTGGCGACGTGAAAAACATCTCTCTCTATTTCTTTACCAAGCTCAAAACTGCAACGTCTATGATGTTCTTTTGCTCCTCCTCCCCTTACAATGTTGTTATTTACCAATGTGTCTATGCCATCTTGCAATGTAATTTGGTTATATCAACTAACTCTTTACAGTGGCCAACTTTCAATTTCAACTTCATTGATATAACCAAATTACATTGTTACACCCACCGACACAGCACTACGGTTTCTTTAGAAACTTACCCCCTTTATTCATTCATCTTGCAATGTGTCTGGGAGTGTGGTTGTAGTTCACATAGTGTATAGCATGGGACAAAAATCATACACAAGGAGGCAAAATGCAGAAAGCAAAACCTAAATAAAGAAAAGCAAACAAACAAGTAAACATGACACATTAGAAGAAAAAAGCGACGTGAACTAACAATGGAACAAGAATACAAATGTGAAATGAAGGAGAGGGAAGGTGTGTTTCACCCTCAATTTAATTTGCTATTCTGAGTTCTTCCTCTGTTGTGCATCAATTTCAAAAACTCAAAATCAAAGTATTCTTAAAACTTGTAGCCATCTGTTATAGCTTTATGGAATTGATTTAAGCAGGGAAGGAACTTGGATGATACATTGGGGTGAAAGTAAAAATAGAGGAGTGACTCTGATTGGTGCACCATATATTAGGGGCAAAACACAATAACCCTTATAACCTACTGCTTTTCGATGACATTAAACTGCCAAAAAAAACATGATAGGAATGAAAAACCAAGCAAGACAAGTCAAACCATGAAAGAGAAATGCATAAACTCTTGTTTATTTTCTCACAGAATTTAACAGTAATACACTTTGATTGATACATTGTTCTTTACCCATCCTATCTTATTTCCTTATGCAAGTCCAAACCATTTTTGATAGGTAACTGACAAGATGGTGAAATTGGAAGGCAATTTCTTTTGTATTATATGATAAAATTGACCAAATATGTCAGCAGTGTATTTATTTACTCATTTACTTATGTATTCATTTTCTTTTTTGCCTATGCATTTGATTTCTGTAATTTATTTATGCCGTTAAGAAAAACTAGGGCATATTTCTAGCAGCATTTGCTTGAATCGACATTTTGAAATGATGTTTCCAAAATCCACCTTAACTTTGAACTAATGGAAGATGCCCACTTTGACGAAAATAACCTCTCAACTTCTAAGGAGGTTCATGCACATGTAATCAACATGATGAGGTTGGAACCAACATTTATTAATTTTAAGCATTCTTGTACTGGTCTGGCCAGTAATAGAAGTAGGACCCTTTGGGATACTGTATTATTTTGAATTTATGTTTAAAATGCAAAGTGTTTGTCTCTATGTTTTTTAATCTCTGGATTATTTGATTTGCTGGATTATTTGATTTGTTGGGCTTTGTGTAAAATATGTGTACCTAACAATTTCTGCAAAAAAAGTCTAAATTTGGGTCATTCACTCTGATTTTAAGATTAAACCTTACCACTGTCCTTCTATCCCTCTGCTATCTTGCTATCCATCACTGTCAGAGCTTATCTGGGTCTCATGGGTTTCCCAAAGAAACAAGGGTTATTTTTTCCTTTTTCTGATGGAATGCCAGTCCTTTGCAGGCAACTTGCTCCCCCCTCCCCCCCCTCCCACATGCTCCTTACAGTAATTGAATAAGTTTCGTTAAAAATTTGCCTGTAACTGCCTTCCACTTGAGTTCCCCACCTCACTTTTGCGGTTGAGAATTGTTGCTAGCCCTCCTTCGGTGATTTGTCTGCTATTGGCCCATATGAGCTTCTTTTGCAAGCTGCAATTCGTTGTATCAGGAATTATAATTGTAATTTCATGCAGAACAGTGGAATACAGCTTAGCTTGGTAAGCCACAGGTGGCCAAGAGCTTTGCTTTGTTGATGACTGGTGGCTAAGGGGTCAGCTTGGTCAAACATTTGCACTATTGTGAGAATTTTTCCATGTCTCCAATGTCACTTTTTGTGCCCGTTTCCAGCACATAAATTCACATTTTTTTCTAAATTTCCAGCCTCATACAAAACAAAGAAAACAGGATTTCTATGACATCAGCAGTGCTTTTGCACAGTCGCTTATCATAGGCTTTGACCAGTCACAGACCAGGAAATAATTATTAATAAAATTAGAATGCCATGGAGGAAACAACAGACAAAGAAAGTTAAGGGAACATTTTGGTGGCAGGTTACAGTAAGCTCCATGTATATTAGACCATGTGAGCCTGGAATGAAGAAAGAGGTCCTCAGATTAAAGGTAGTAAAATGCC